CAGACTGACTTCAGGACACCACGAGCACACATGCATCACTATACCTGTTCAGCCAGCTTGCCCAGCCTGTTTGGCTGACAGCGCGACCACAAACAGAAGTAACAGAGGCCATCAAAGTGTGTGAAACAGAGAGAAAGGGGAAAAAAAGAAAATACAAACAAAGAGGCACTAGAAACATAGGATACACACAGTAAGACAGAAAACAAAACTCGCGCTGGTTCAGAGCGAACAGAAAATGTCCATTTCACGTTACTTAAGCACTTGGCACTTTGAAGTGGTTCACTGGGAAACATGCAGGTCTCAGTTAATAAACAAGAGGAGGTTTAAGGCAGATTATGCATAATGCCTGTTGCCTTGTCATAAATCCCTGCTCCCTCCGTACCACCCTAAAGGCTGCTTGCAGCCTCAGAAACACCACCTCAGTACACCAGCCCAGCACGGTTGGAAGACGTCAGGTATTTATGTGCCTGCTCTCTTGTATCAAATACCCATTCAGTTTGTTATTAATCTGTATTTATTTAAATTCAGTGATTTAAAAAAGTCAAACACAGATACTGCTTTGAAAGAATGGGGGAAAGAGGTTAAAAAACACTAAAAAAAAAAAAGGGGGGGGCTCAAGAACAGAGGTGAAAAAAGGTATAAAATGAAGGGGAAGCTTAACTGCCCAGCAGCCCTACACTCTTCACAGTTTTCTTGGCGTGCTTTTCACACTGCCATTTTAACATTCCCTAGAAAAACTGTTTCCCCCCTGCTTTGTCCAGCCTGAACAGCAAATATCCCAAACTGGCTTTTAAATTTCTTATTAGAAAGGCAATTCAGAAAGCTGTTTGTTCATTCCCACTCGGTGTCTGAAATGTTTTATTCAATGAATTTAACATCTTTCTGCACAGTCGCCTTAATTTCATCTATATCCTTCCTATTCTTCCATTTACTGATTCATAAAATCGCTTTGGCCAGATTTCTTTATAACCATTTATCTAGGGGCTGTTAAAAGTCTTTTTCCCATTAACATGTGTGAAAAAAACAATGGAAACTAAAGAAACAATTATCAACGGCAACATATTTAAGGCAGCTTATGGCCCCACAAACATCTCTCGGAGGAAATGCAGAACATTAAAATGCATTGAGAGGAAAAAGGCTTTCCTTTGTCTCGTGGGCACCAGAAAGAAAAAAGGTTTTGCAGAAGCACAGTAGCAATCCTCATGGAACCATATTATTTTTATTGTATTATTTTATTTTTACCAGTGAAAGTGAAAATAAAAATTTACGATCACACGCATACTTAATGCATGTGCCGTCTACGAAATTCCCCCCCCAAAAAGCTACATACTGCCACATCTGACACTTGAACAGCTTTTCTACTAACTCAAGTATCATCCAAAACCCAAGGAGCTTTGCCATTTTCTAGACACTGAACCATCGAAGGTGGGTCTGGACCACAGCATGTCACGATCTCCCGTCCGTGAAGCAGGGCTGTGTACTTTATGGGCATAATTCTCAAGCTTGAAGCTTCCAATTTTATACCTTTAACTGAAAAGTAAGTCCAACTCTTACAAGAGGTGAGACAAATGTGTGATAATACTCATTTGAGATCTTTAAAAGTCAGGAAACCTGCCAACCAAGAGAGTTCCTCAAATAAGACCCAGGATTATTCCTGGGTCTTATATGAGGAACTCTGTCTTGCATTTAATTCCACATATATAGAAGCTATTTTTCAAACACACAAAAGCTGAAATAACACTGCCTGAAATACTGAGTATGTTTATGAGCAGGAAGCTGTGCATTTAATTTAGTACTGCTCCTGCACAGCAGGAAGGAAACAAGTTTTGTAACACCAATCTACTACGAATACTAATAGAAAAGCAGATCAATAGGTCAATTAGGACAGAAAAATTATCATAACTCCCATCTTCAAGGCTTAATTAACTTGGTAACAAAGCGAATAAGCAGTAGAGCTTAGCTCATTAGAAAAAAATGACATATAGCTGAACATGATTTCCTGTGAAGTTCCCAGCAATTCTGCCTACAAGGAGTAAGCAGCTTCACCTCACCTGTAAGCAGATCGCCACGTTGACCCGGCACCCGAAGGTAGTGCTCACGGCGCGAGCAGAGAGGCCCAGGTCTTTGAACAGCTTGGAGAAAGACTGGGTTAACGCGATCCGTGGTCTCTCCTCCGCAACCACCATGCAGGTTCGCACGCAGGACAGGTTAACTCCTTTCATCTGAGAGGGCGGGTGAAGAAACCAACAGCGTTTTAAGGCTGAAGTCAAAAATTCTAGAAATAAGGCATTTTAATCTGTGGAACAGATGGGACTTTAAAAACACCAGAATAATTGACATGAACGGGTTAAACACCACAGACACAGACTGCACTCTGGCTCCATCCACCCAGGACAACCCCCTCGAGTTGTGCCAAGAAGCTTTGTGGTAGGGTTGGATGCGCAAGATGCAAACTACTCGCATCATGTAGCTGCAACACGCATCGTTTTGAGCTGAAAAAACTCCAAAATGTCATTGGGGCACAGAAGAGACCCGCTTGCTCCCGGTGCCATGCAGTCCAGATGCGGGCAGAGTCTGAGACATTATCAGCTCTCATCAGCAGGAGCCTGAACCTGCAGCAAGTGGCCGTGGGCCAGGATTACCTTCAGGGCGGTCCAGAACAGAGGGACAGCGGGTTTTGTCTATACTGACACCAAACACAATGCAGCTGCTTTCTTGTGCAACACAAGCTGCCACATTCCCAGCGGAAGCCCTGAGCAGCCTAGTTACTACAGCCGTGGGAAGTCTCCCACCACTGAGACAGAGGTGTCTCTTCAAGGACGTTAAGTTTCAGCTGAAGAGATGTCCTTCAAAAATAAATGGATGTATTGGTGTGCAATTGCTACTGTTAGGAAGATTACATCCGGTTTGGAACTCAGTTCTTTGGCGTCAAGAAATCTGAAAGCAGTTGAGACTTGCCAGGTTCTGGGGGGCTTTTTGTTTTGGGTTTGTTTTTTGCTTTGGATGTGTGTGGTTTTGGTTTGTTGTTTTTGTTTTGTTTTTGTTTTTAAATAGGTTTGTTTTTGGGGGGAGGTTTTAGTTTTTAGGGTTTGATTGGGCTTTGGATTTTTGGTGTTTGTTTTTCTTTTGGTGTGCGCTTTATTTCGTTGCTTGGTTGTGGTTTCTTTTCACTTCACACAAGAAAAAGTTGATGAGCTTGCAAAATATCTTGCCCAAATTCTCAGAAATACCCAGTAGCACAGAAGTGGCAGAAATCAGTAAAGTTGAAAACATAACTTTTTTTTTTTCCCCCCAGCAGAAACAGGAGAGCTGAAACTTCCAGCAATCCCAACATTTCCCAAAAAGCCATAACGACAGCCACCTTCTGCAAGCTAAACCAGAGTATTTTTAGGAAGATTGGTACATCTGTATGTCAGTACACTGACAAACGAAGTCCACTCACCCGGAGTATATCGGTCTGTGTGCCAAGCCCCTTGGTGCACATCTCCATCACGGAGTAGGAGCAGAACGTGACGCGCACTTTATACTGACTGACAGCAGACAACCACAGAGACACATTGCTCTCCAGCTCCAGAGGAGGGACTAGGATAGACTGATGACCCGAATACACACTAGGAAGAGGAAGAAAAAGAAATGAAGACTCCAAGCCGGCATAAAAAAGCCAGAAGGTACATAAAGTCAAAGCGAAGCAAATACAGGATAACTGAGAGCTTGGTATTTATCTGAACTTCAGCTTGTCTTCTCCACAGACAGCAAGTCTCTCTCCGTTAGTTAGGAACTCAGGTCACAACATTACGGTGCATCTATCTGTCCTGCAGTAAACTGAACTATAGGGAAATACTCGTGGCCTGGAACAGACAGAACTTGTGATTCTGAGCCACTGACATGCGAGGCTTCATTCCAGTTCCAGATTACAGTGGGCAGCTGAGCTTATGGTTGCGAGTCAGTCGAGGGAAACGGCACCTTTTGAGTGAGATCAACACCCACACTGCAACATTCACATTCTGAGTGCAGTTTTCTAGCCTTTGCCGTAGGTGTCGCAGATTTCAAACACTGTTTATGTGAAATATTTAACCTGGATACCCATTAATATGAATGGACAGAAATTCAAATTCAGAGTCATACCACCTTATAATAATATTATTTTTTCTTAATATTATGTATTAATTTCCAGACAGTAATTGCCATGACCATGCAGTCTTAAACTGCCAAATATTTTTTTAGAGCAGTTACTACCAACAAAATCAGTGACACACTCCTCTGTAAAACCAGGCTTAGATAAAACAATGCACCTGGGGAAAAAAAAAAAAAAACCAACATCATGAACTGCTCTCAGCTGGCAGCTTGACACGGCTGCCATTTCTCCTGACTAGAGCTGCAGTGTTTTTGGAGTGGGCAGTGCGATGAGGGGGTTTGGTTTTCTTCTTTAAACGTTCTGAAGTAGAGGGGGAAAAAACCCCAAAAATTCTGTAATAAAAAGGTTTTTCACACTAAAACAAAGTTCTAACTCAGATGAAACAAAACCACCTTATATGAACGTTTGCAGAGGAAGTGTGACACACACAGTCCCCTTCCCTAAAGTATTCTGTAAAATCTATTTACATTTTCATTCTTCCATCACTCAGGTTTCTTCTCCCTCTACTCCACCTCACTTTATTGATGATTTAAATCATCAGATGTGACCAAAGTTACATTTTTTGCTTTCCTTCAGCACACTTCCTTTCCAGCTGGGGATATTGAGGGGGAGGGAACAGGTTAACTACATAAAATTAACTTTACCTGTTTACAGAATAACCTTTCATCTTCTGCACTTTCTTAAATGAAATACCTAAACCACTGTTAAATCTTTGGATGAGTTGAAGCACATGGAATGTTTTAAAAGGTAATAAAGAGAAAATTTTGCAGCTTTGCAGAACGTGCTGCATTACAGCAGTTATCTGATTGAATCAATTCCCATCTCATTCATTTTAAGAAACATTTAATTACTTCCTTTAGCAGTATTTCTTAGCACATACCAATCTCGCAGCCAGCACCTTGAGAGCCTTGTAAAATGATGCAGTTTAATCTCTAAAGACTTTGAAAGGATGTATTTAATCACTGTGAAACAGGCAGTGAAGCTCTTTTTTTTCTCAGATGTGGCATCTAATTAATTCCACCTGCAAACCCGAAGCTACTCAAGTCACTACTTCATGGATTTTGTTACCACAAAAGGTATTTTATGACATGCATATAAAAAGGTTAAATCGGGTTTCTCTGACAGTTTCACAGATTCAGTGGGAGGGGTTGGAAGGGACCTCTGGAGATCATCTAGTCCAGCTCCCCTGCCAGAGCAGGATCACCTTTGTGTAGATCACACAGGAACAAGTCCAGGCAGCTTTGGAAAGTCTCCAGGGAAGGAGACTCCACACCCCCTCTCTGGGCAGCCTGTTCAGTGCTCAGTCACCCTCACAGGGAAGGAGCGTGTCCTCATGTTCAGGCTGAACCTTCTGTTTCACCCACTACTTTTCCCCTGGATTCTGGAGAAGGCTGGGGACACACAAGCAAGCCTACGACTCCAACGACATACCTGCACAAGCACCACAGCGCAAATCCCAAGCCACAGTACGGGTCAAGGCAGATGGCGATCTGACGTGAAGGGTAGAGCTCACACTGTAGCTTTATAGAGCGACATAAGGCACTTGTAGCTGCGTGTGACATCTGTCAGAGGAAAACAGGCGCCCTCAGGGACTTCACAAAAAATGGGTATTGCACATCATAACCCACAGCAATGTTTATTGTACAAGTGACCACATGCAGTGGTTTGGGTTTTTTAAGCACCTTTAAAAGGGGAAAGGGACACAAGCACAAAATTTCACAGGTACTTTTCATGCTAGCAGCAAATGACATCTGTCAAGATATCGAACAATGTCAAATGACATCCAACGTCTCTACGATAAATCGCAAAAGAAAACATTGACCAACGTGGCACAAACAGTGCCCAATCAGTGCCCGTGGCGATACCTCGCATACAGCCAGTAAGACAGAACGCTTCCAAAAAGTGCATCCAGAAGAGCTGATGTACAGCAAATGTAAAAATACGTTTTCTGAACACCAAGATGGTCCACTCACATTCTTGTATTTCTTCTCTGGCAGGAGAAGTGAATGTGGAATATGCCCATATATAAAAGGAAACAAAGTCGTGTTGTTCTACCTTTACTCCTGCTAGTATGCCAGTGGTGGACACACTGAAGTCCAAGTATGCCAACATATCTGGAGATGTAGGTCTGAAAATACTAGCCAGCTTCTTTTTAGGCATATCATCTAGTTAAAAGATATAAAAAGATAAGCACGCCATATTATTATTTTGGAAAAAGAGCACGGAACAAAAATGTCTCTTTACAGCATTCACACCACAAGCTTTCTACAGTTCCTGGACTGCTACTTCAAAGCAAGATACATCCATTCAACTAGGCAGTTACGGTGTAACACAATAAACAGATCAGTCTTCAAGCTATTTACATTCTGGCTAGCAGGCAAGCATTCTGTACCTGTATCCAAAATAGTGGGCCATGTTTTAATATCTACCGCTGCCGCGGCCTCCTTGGACTTCAGCAGTTTCATTATCGCTTGCGTGGTCAGTATACACGCCGACTTACTGACCTGCGGACGACACGGCATTAAAAATGTTCCTAAAACCCATGAATGAAAGCCCAAGTGAATTCATATCCCTCTAGATGAGCTCACCAGTCAGCTGAAGATAAACATTGGAAACAAAGCAAAACAAATCGCAGCAACAGAAAGAACATTTTAAACGAGTGTCGGAAAAAGTATTTATTGCCTCCGCCACAGCATGCGGATTAGTTTTTTCCCGAGCTGATTTTACACTGACTGTGGCAAAACTATTTATCAGGCTGCGTCAACCATCCTACACCCACCAAAAGCATCAGGAGAGGAATGTCTTTCTACGTACCTCTACAATCATTTTGACAGTGGGCAGAGTGGTAGCAAGATTCTGTGGATGAGGTGGGCGAACGGTGATAGGTATGCAGCCGGCATAGAGGCAGCCATAGAACGTTGCTATCAAGTCCACTCCTGTAAGGGATACTCATGAAATTAAAGCCACTTTTATCAGAACAAAAGGCCAAACTCTTTCACCAAAATCAACAGACACACTGATTTATTTTGTTAAGATGTAAGGATTTGTCACCAAGGTCTCTTCAATCCAACAGGTTGGTCTTGGCCACGCCCAATGCTGTAAAGCTAACTCACTTTGCGTTTCAGAGCTGGCCAAATATCCAAACCCTAAAAACTTTACACTTGTAGGGATATATTTTCAAGGACAGGTGGCATGAAATAACAAACCCAACACACCAAGGTACTTTGGGTTATGGAGATGACAACCCAGATTCTTTCAGAAAGCATACATTTGTTTTGCACAATTATCACTCTGAAATACACAGCCATCCTGCTTTTAGGAGGCCATACTTTTATCCTGAGCTACATTTGTACATACACACTAGGAAGGCAAGTCTGGGGTCCCGATTTCATTTCCAGAAACAGCCATGCAGGAAAGAAAGGGTGTTCACACACAGACATCCCTAATCCCGCTTTCAATGGATACACACCCAGTTTTATTGCATTCTCTGAGGCTGAAAATTGAGCACCTTTCAGGTGGTTTAAACATCAAACTACTCTTGCATAATGTCCCAGACACCTGGAGCAGGTAGATGAAATGTTTGGTAAATACATTTTGCCACCTGGAGAAGCGACTTAGTAATAAAATATCAAGAAGGAAGTCTGTGCCTTGACATTCCCCGTCGCTGCCACACACCGCTACATCAAGTGGATGTTTGAGTGCTCCATCTCAGCAAGAGCTGTGCCTTTTCTTGTCATGCCTGCCTTTGAGTTTTGCTGGCTGGATTGCCTTACCTGGAGGATAAACCAGGGCCACGTGGTCACCAACATTCAGCCGGCCTTTCTCCGTCAGGGCAACTGCCACCCTCTCCGCTCTCTTGTGCAACTGTATGCACGATGCAGTGCTCGCTACAGTGCCCTGCGTGAAACAAAAGCAACATCAGAAAACTTGGCGGAGAACAGTCAAACTCAATCAAATAGAGTCTGCAGATGCAATATTTCATCATCCTCCTTTTAAAAATACATCTAACACTTAAATTCTGTCTCTGTTTTGGAAACCACGCTACTGGTACCCTGGACTTTTACAATGCTAGGAGAATCCACTGGCAGCCCAGAAAGCCAACCATGACCTGGGCTGTATCCAGAGCAGCGTGGCCAGCAGGTT